TTCCAGTGGCGTATTTACTTTTTCAGCTGCAGGAAAACCCGGAAAAACCTGCAGTACTACATCATCTGAAGATCTTGATCTGCCAATGTCCTCTTTTTTTCGTAAAAAAATCTGTAGGGTATCTCCAGAGGCTCCAATAAATTCAAGACATCGCTAGAACATTTACTGACACGACTATAGTCAAATTTAAACTAGTCTGGTTCGTCTTTGACCAATGCGTAATACTGGCCAGATTCAACGCCAGAACCACAGTAGACAATGACTGCATGAAGTATTGATAACATTGAGGATAAAATGTATGCAAAAGAAGAGTATTATTTAGTTATTTTGGACTTATTTTATTCAAACAGAAAAAATTTTTCAATACGATTCCACTGAAAACATTGAATAATATTTTCAAGATGAGAGTTGTTTGAAAAGATAACTTATCGAGACAAAAAAATCATGTCGAAATGTATTGGAAGTATAAATTTTTCAAATATTTAAGACGATGTAAATTCACATTCACCTTTGCACGAAAAGTGTTGTTTGTATTTCGTGTAAAAATTTGTTGCACATTCGAGAGAACTTTTGGCCTCGACCTGATTAACACTCTCATCTCATCTCTCTCAATCTGAATTTCTAGGGATTCACATTAACAACAAGCTCAAATTTATTGAGCATATTAAACAACTTAAAAGTAAAATTTATTCTGGATGTTATGCAGTGAGAGTAACTTCAATAAATTTGGGAATCATAACTGCCAGAACGGTATGTTATGGCCTCGTTGAATCCCACCTACGTTATGGTATACCGTTTTGGAGAGTCTGCAATTCATCAGTACTTCTGTCTGTATTAGTACTGCAGAAACGGGCCATCAGGTATATGTGTAAGAATAAACCTCGTGATTCATGCAGACACAAATTCGCTGAGCAAAAAAACTTCAACAGTGATTGTTTTGTTCATTTTGGAAATGGTTTGCCTCATTTACAAGAATATTTCCCTATTTGTGGCTCCATGCCATTCTTATAGCACCCGTTCCACCGCGTTGAAATTG